TTGCGCGTGTGTGTGTGTGTGTGTGTGTGTGTGTGTGTGATTGTGTGTGAATGTTTGCGAGTGCTTGTGTCTGTATGTGCGTGTGCGTGTGTGTGAGGTGGTGTGTGTGTGTTCGTGTGAGTGAATGTGTGTGTGTGTGTGTGTGTGTGTGTGTGTGTGTGTGTGTGTGTGTGTGTGTGTATGTGTATTTGCCAGAAGTATCTTTTACTGTACGCTAGTTACCTTTCCTCGCTACATGGAGGTAGGAATCAGACTTTTAGTACGGTATAATAATATTATTTCGTGTTGATATCAATGATTAAAAGGTGGCCGGGGGCGGGGAGATTCAGTAAGGGTTGGGATGAAACGAGTCTTATTAGTGGAACGGTTTAAACCTCACTCATTCTCCTGACAAACTATCATCATCATTCAGTGCCAGATCTGCGACAGACATCGGCGATCATGGTTCTCCATTCAATCCTTTGCTCGAATGCTCTCAAAAAAGCTATGTTTCCCTGATCTTTTCCTGTTACCCATTTGTTAAGGCTCCCCAAGTAGATTGTTCTGGGCCTACCCCTGCCTCATTTGCCTTCAATTTTGCCAGTGAGAGCTAGACATTCAAGACCCTTATGTCTAATCAGGTGTCCCAAAAACTGCATTTGTCGTTTCCTGATTGTTTTTAACATTGAGCGTCCCACGTTGGCTTCATCAGGACTACCTCATTTGGTTTCTTTTCCTTCCACGATACTCTTAGCAGTCTCCTAAGAAACCACATTTCTGTTGCTTCTATTTTATTTTCACTGTCTTTAGTGATTGTTCAGCATTCACAAACATATAGAAGGGTTGACCATACATAACATTTCAGAATTTTCATTTTGGTGGTCATTGAGATGCTTCTATTTTTCAGGATTTTGCTCATTTTATTGAAACTAGCCTTAACCATTGTAATTCTCCGTTTTATTTCTTTGGAACATTTGACAAACTATAGATCTATTATGGTAAATTTCTTCATCGTGAACTTTTCTATCATACTGCTCCAATATGAATGCAGTACTAACTAGTAAGTACATATACTTATCATGCTAGCAAGTCAAGCACTATTATAGACTTAAGTAGATCTTGCTAAAAGGTCATGTAGAGAGTATTCGAATACACACTGGCACCGCCCAATTCTTGATACCGACTCGCAGTGAATACTTGGTCGGTGTCCAAACCCTCCTGCAGTTGGCCGTGTTCTTTGTTGATGTCATTATGGGGTCTTGAAAATGATATACAATTTCGTATTTTCGAGCATCAAAACAAGCTACTTATCTCTGATCGTTGTTTTTTCGTTATAGGACTGCTAATTCCAGTTGTAAGCAAGTTTTGTTTCCATCTGGTTTGGATAATATGTTTTTAAAAAAGCTATTTTCTTCTACTGCTAGATCGACAGCCCCACCGTGTTGTTAGGCTTCTGTCAGTTCTCGACACCGTACTCAGTGTAACGTTCATCAACAACAGAAATTATAAATAAGGGGAATGGAACGTGGGATTAGAGAAACCAAAAAAAACCCAAGAACAAACGCAGTAAAGCTAGCCTTGGTCCTTTCTACCAGCTATTGTGTTTGGTAAACTCGCTCCCTCTACAACAAACTAGGAGAGCTGTCAACATGCTGTCGTCTCCTGAAGGAATACCTTGAAGTTTCTTTCCTTGCCTTCTCTGAGACGTGGTTCGAAACCACCATGGCCGATACAACACCACACATCAACAGCTATTAAGTGTCTAGCACCGATCAGAAAAGAAAAACAAGCATAATAACATAGGTGTCGACTTACGTCCGTTTTTAAACTACTAGTGCTGGGCATACCGTAACAATATGTGAGGCAGCGTGGTGGAATCAGGCTCTCGTCAAAATAATCAACGTGAAGAAACTTGCATTTTTCCGCAGGTTTGTGAATTTTTATCAATTTTTTTGTTTTTTGGCTCAACACCTTTTCTGCCCATTAAAGAATTCATTTTTGTGTGAATTTTTCTGAAAAACGTTAATTAGATGCACAAAAAAATGTACATTTTAAATTGCCACGGACTCTTAAGCTAAGGAAATAACTAATCTTTGACTGCCATTTTTTCACTAATTTTACCTCTGAAAACAGGTGACCCCATCTCCTTCTTTCGCAAATATCTCGACCTGTATTCAAGATAAATGGATTTTTTTCATCCAAATAAAGACAAGTGAACAGGCTTTAAGGTGATACCAATACCTCTACAGGCCCAAAAATTGACGAGAGCCTGATTCCACCACGCTGCCTCACATATCACACTATATAAAACACCCCGTACCTCAAAACACTGAACTTTTTACTGTCTATTCTTCTTCTTCTTCGTTCTCGATAACTGCAGCTAGACAGTCGGTTCGATGTCGCGCACAAACTGGTCAGTCCGTTTGAAATCTGAGAGACTGCCATAGAGCTTCCGCTCAAGGGGAGTCACATTCTGCCACGTCTGTGTACGAAGGGTGGCGTAGCGCGGGCAGTGCTGAATGAAGGATATGGTCAGCATCCTCTTGGCTGTACCCACATTCACAGTTTGCTGACTCTCCCACTATTACGTTAGTGTGCATATGGTGTTTGAGTCTGTTGTGGCCCCAAGGGATTCGAGAAATTGTGACCTGGTCTGCTCTATTTAATATGTAGTAGGATTTTTACTGTCAAATTCAGGTCATTCGAACTGAACAAGGAGATCGCGTGAGCTTTATCCCACCACAAAAACGACAGAGTTGATATCCTAGGGTCTCGCATTCACAAGCAAGAGCTCTCCAACAGCATTCATAATATATCAAATTATTATTCTCCTCTGACAGACCCCGTGTTCGAACCTCCGAAGTACGAGAACCTTTAATGTTATGAGCTGAATATATAACAACAATGTCAATACCAACTGCTGCTTGCCTAAGGCTCGCCTTTCGCCACCTGGACAGCATGGTTTTAAAACTAATTTACTGGGCTTTGAGAGACTATTGAAAAAGTTTGTATTTTTCCATTTTACGATTCTGGGATTTTTTCTAAATACATTTAAATAGTCAAGGTAGGCGGCCAGAATACTACCAACTTACGGTACGCTGTTGATACAGTCTTGATAGCTGAGTCTGAGTCAGCCTTCATATATTACATTATCTCCAAGAGATTCCAACTAAACGGACAGACAAAAGCGGAGAAAGGAGACAACTACAGCAAGCCAAGGAATGCATGGTGATATTTTTTTTTAAGTGTTAATCTTCCAGTTTTCTGCAGTACATGTAAGAACGAAAGAATAAAATAGGTCAGCAGCTTTAAATACCTTGGTTGCAAAAATTACTCCAGGTGTAAAAATTGACACAGAAAGAGAAAAAGCAATGCAACATCTAAATAAACTATCAGCTCTAAAGATACTACCAGCAAGATGAAACATATCTTCTCAAATAGAAACATAACGTAACAGTAAACACAAATAAAAGAACCCTGAACGCGTATGTATAGTCGATTCTTTCGTGTGGGTGAGAGAGCTGGACTCAAAACAAAGACAACTGTACAGGAGAAGACTGGAGGCCACTGAAACGTTTTATTAAAAGAGAACACTCAGAATCTCAGGGACAGAGAGGAAAACAAGCAGAAAAGTGCTCCAAATGGCAGGATGAGAAAGGGTCATAATCAGAACCATCAGATAAAGACAACTGGAATTATATGGCCGCATAAATATACCAATAAATGAACTAGGGAAACTGCCGCTAAGTGGAATGATAGAGGGGGAAAAGAGCAGAGGAAGACAAAGAACAACATACACAGATGGCCTGAACAACTTTGCAGCGAATCACTCAAAGAAAAAAAAAATAGCTGATCAAGATCACTGACAATTGGAAGGAAAAGGGGTACCACGATCGTCATTGTCTGATCTGACACCTGAACAAAACGACATTTTCAATATACATGCACTGACAACACAAAGTGTCCGATCTTCTGAGAAAACAAGCTAATCTATTGGTGTAATATGTTTGCATGCTTTCGACTGTTTTGCGACTTTTGTAATACAAAATGCACACAGACTTGTTTTCCAACAGATACATGTTTTCAAAGTCCATCAGATGCAAAATGTGACATCTTTGTTCTGTCACAATGGCCATCAGCAATATTTATTTTATGTATATGTGAGTTTTTTCAACGTCAAGCTTTCGGTGTGGGTGTCATAATGTTTAAGAACCTGGTCTACCTCCCAAGTTTCGGAATATTGTTTTGGCAACGCTGGCCTTTTCTTATAAATACATTTTATCAGTCTTTTCACAAATCGGTGCTCCTCTAAACTATCACAGTCCTTAAACTTCAGCAAATTTGACAGAGCACAAATTGCACGAATAAATTTCATTTTCAACCAATGCAGACACTAAAGCACCGATCAGACATATTTTTAACACAATACTGACCAAAAATCATTGTAATACGAATCTAACCCTATGTACACATTAGAGAAACTTTGCGCTTGCAGGAATGGTACGAGCGATTGCGAAATAGGACAGACGCATGCGTGACCGGATCTTATTTTGGCCTGTAAGGATTGCTATGTACTGAGGTAAGATTGCCTCAATTTGCTTAATCGCGACTGCGCTACTGGTGGACGAGAATCCTAACTACATATTGACTGCCAGCAAAAACAAATGTTAGGCGTGCTGACAAAATGAGTTACTTCTCGCATTCCACACTTGGAGATATTTCACAAAAATCGACACTATGGTCAAATTATTAGATTTTCTAATGATGCCATATTCTTTAAGTATTACATGCTTTTTATTATTTCACAATTATAAATTGTAAAAACGTCACCCATAAGAATGATATATCTATTTCCATAGGGTTCGAATCTGAGAAGTAACTCATTTTGTCAGCAGGCTTCACAAATGTGTCTATATTAGTGTTACAATTGGGCAATTGCCTGCCGTTAATGTAGCTTTTGTGTTATATATATTTGCATTGTATTTTCTATTCTAACACATCCCCCCCTCCCCAGATGCATTCACAAACGTGTTTGTTTTAAACGTCATTAATGTCTTATTTGTTCAATTGTTGTTTTTCTCCAGGTTCCAAAAGAGCAGATGGACCCATTAATCAGCCGCTGCTGCAAGACATTTACGTATCTAGATGTTCATGACAGTTTCTTTAAGGACAGGCTTGTCTTCTCTCTCTCCACCAAAGACAGAGCCGCAAGACGACGGGAGAGGTGAGCCAGGACTGTTGGCCTTTTATATAGCTAATTGTTCATAACAATGACTTAATAAGTCAAGATCTGTGGGACAGAAGTAGTACTTGGGCAATCTGCTTACTCTATGTCTACCGTACATAGATCTATTATGCAAAATGTTTTGTCTATCAAGATAGAGAAGACCATACATATTTGCTGTAAGTGCTAGAGAAGTATTCTGTTCAACATCTATCTATCTATCTATCTATCTATCTATCTATCTATCTATCTATCTATCTATCTATCTATCTATGTATCTCTCTGTCTACAAATCTATCTCTATATCGCTCGCTCTCTCTCTCTCTCTTTCTCTCTCTCTCTCTCTCTCTCTCTCTCGTTTTCTCTCTCTCTCGCTCTCTTTCTCCCTCTCTATCTCCTACTCTCTCTCTCTATCTCTCTATCTCCCTCCTTCTCTCTCTCTCTTTCTTTCTCTCTCTCTCTCTCTCTCTCTCTCTCTCTCTCTCTCTCTCTCTCTCTCTCCTGTACAGGTGTACTGTCTGAACTTAGTACATTTGAACAGATTGACAACGTCATATTATCTCCCCCCCCAACCCCCCACCCCCACTCCCCCAGGCTAGAGGCAGAGAAAAGTGGACGTGACAGACTAAGCAGCCCGTCCAGCCTCAGCACGCTAGGTCCAGAGAGCAGCTCCTCTCACTACTACGACATCAACAGCGCCTACCTCAATAGCGGGTACATCAACAACACAGAGGGCCCCTCAGCCTACTCGCCTCTGCCCGTGAGGCCATCGGAGACGCTGAGAGAACTCTCCAACATGTCCACCTCGTCAACCACAGCTTTGACAGACGGGTGAAGGCTAGCCGTCTTCATCAAGTTCCGAGTCGACCACTTGATCACTTCTGGCAGGGCGGCCTTTATGAAGATGGAGTCATGTAACTGTCTCCGAGGAAGTACATTTACCACCAAGGCTGATCGCATGGCGTCGGAAAAAATAGTCTTCCTTCCTGTAAAATGTTACCATCTGGACTTATTACATTGGAACATTTTGAAGACGTTGTGCAGTTCTCCGAGGAAGTACATTCACCACCAAGAATGGTGGCTTGGCACTATGATAAAAACTTGTTCTCTTTCTCTCGCTCTCTCTCTTTCTCTCTCTCTCTCTCTCTCTCTCTTTCTCTCTCCCTCTTTCTCTTCCCCTTTCTCTCTCTCCTAAAAGATTTTGCTGTCTGGGTTTTATATACTGTAACAGCTCGAAAACGTTGTACTTTTCTCAGGAATTAATTTTACCAACAAGGCTGTTTGCATCGTGAGGAAAAACCTTTTTTTCCTCATGTAAAACTTTGCCCTCTATGCTGGGAGAACTCTTTAACATGTCCACCTCGTCAACCACAGCTTTGACAGACGGTTGAAGGCTAGCTGTGTTCATCACGTTCCAAGCCGACCACTATATCACTTCTGGCAGGTCCCGCAAAATGAAGAAGAAGAAGGAGTCATGCAACTGTCTTCAAAGAAAAACATTAACCACCAAGGCTGCTGGTCGCACGGCGTCGGGAAAAAATTATTTCCCTAGTAAAATGTTGCCGTCTGGGCCTAGTACATTCGAACATTTTGAAGATGTTGTACGTCTTACTTAATATTTTGTTTCCTTTTGGAGGGAGAGGGGGGGGAGGGGTACTTTTCTGTTGCTGTTGTTTTCGTTTTTACTTTTATAAAAACGTTTGTCCTTTTTGTTGCTGTTATTGTTGTTTCTGTTGTGTGAATGTGTGCGTGTATGGCGGGGGAAGGGGGGGGGTGTGGCGGGAAGGTCCCAAAAAGGTATTTGCCACTAAAAAGAGGAACAACAACAATATCAACACGTACGAGAAGAAACCGAACAACAAAAACAAGAACGAGAACAAAAACACTAAGTAAAAGAACAAGATGTTTGAACGAGATGTTTGAAATGTGTTCATGGCATGGTTTCTTCATCATGGAGTACCTCATGTTACAAGAGAAACGTCAGTATATGTTTGTATCATTGTGTGCTACTGTTGGGGAGGTGCCTCTCGTTTAAATCCTCTATTGAACTCAAACCATTTGGGTCGTTTCACATTAACTTTGCCCTTGATTTTTATTGCAATAGTAGTTTACACTCCCATCAACACAAGTATTCAGACCATTAAGGAAGCGGGGTACTTCGTCCATGCCCGCGTCAGGATCAGCCGAGACACAGAGGGATGCAGTGTACCAGACGACGAGCGGAGATACTCGATGAACATAATTCGTAATTTCCTTTTTCTATTTTTATTTTGTTCTTTTAAAATTTTTATATCCTTGGCTTTATTTTTAGTGCTTCTCCTGCCTTTTACATTCTTTGTCTTCCACCCCCTCCCTGGTCATTTTCTGTTAACCTGCATACCAAAGCAATGTACTTAGAGTTTTAAAAAACCTAAAGGGATTAACCATAGCGAACTATGGAAATAGCAGATACCACGATTTGTTCACAGTCTTTATCATTAGTATATTCATTGTACATTGTAAACTTCGTCATATTTTCTTCATTCTTAGTCATTAGTGTACTCACAGATTTTGCTCATTATTCATATATAGGTTTATCAAAATTACCTGAATAATATGTTAATGAGACGAATTAAATGATGATGATGATGATGATGATGATGATGATGATGATGATGATGATGATGATGATGATGATGATGATGATGATGATGATGATGATGATGATAGCTATCCGCATGGCTACTGACAGTGACGAATGTCTAATGAATTGATGCTGAGGATGTTTTGTTTGAATGATACACTGCCTTTGCGTATGTACTAAGCACCCTTTCATTGATACACATAATATTTTGACACTATGTGAAAGTAGATGAAAGATGCAATATATTCTACAGTGTTGGGATATGTCAGTTCAACATATAAATAATGTATTGCTATCACTATGATGAGTTGCGTTGATCTCATTTTTTTCATCTGGGTATATGTATTTACTGTCTTTCACAATATTGTCGAACTTATTTGTGTCATGATACGGTGGAATCAGGCACTCGTCAAGTTTTGAGCTTATATGTGAGGCAGCGTGGTGGAATCAGGCTCTTTTCAATTTTTGGGCATGTAGAGTTACTGGTATCATCTTAAAGCTTGTTCACTTGTCTTTATTGGGTTGAAAACAAATATACATTTATTTTGAATAAAAGTCGAGATATTTGCGAAAGAAGGAAATGGGGGTCACCTGTTTTCAGAGGTAATATTAGTGAGAAAAATGCCACCAGAGATTAGTTATTTCCTTAGCTTAAGAGTCCATGGTAACTGAAAATTTACATTTTTTGTGCCTGTAATTAACGTTTTTCAGAAAATTCCATACAGAAATGAGTTCTTTAATAGGCATGAAAGGTGTTGAGTCAAAAAACAAAAATTCGATAAAAATTCACAAAACTGCGGAAAAATGCAAGTTTCTTCACTTTGATTATTTTGACGAGAGCCTGATTCCACCATGCTGCCTCACATATTATATCTGATAGTTTATGTTATGGTGGCGTCAAAAAAAAACCTGAAAATATAACCACCCATCCAGTCCTCATGTCAAAGTCTTGCATTACCCACTCATGCAGCACACCATTTTAAAGTTAAATAAATAAATTCTGCACCGTTTGACACATTAATATTTCATTTTTATGTTAAGAGACACCCGATATCTGGTCACTCAAAACTGACCTTAAAAAGCCAGGCTGGGCAAAACTGTGCAAAATCAAAGGACATTAAAGTTGTCTTCGTGAAAGTATTAAGGTGTGAAAATATTGATATAAAGGACATACATAGCATGCCAAAGAAATTGAGGATGTTGCATTTGCAATAAACAATAATGTATTTCGATAGTTTGAAACAAAATGGAAAACAGGGCAATCTCAAATACCACGTAGCTCTCCCCCCCACCCCGTACAATTTGACCTTTGCGTTAAATGTGCTTTTAGTTATTTTGCTAAGGAGTCACTCGTTTTATGTAGGTTACGAACCCTGTGGGCATCGGTTCTATTAAACTTTGGACATAATTATCTGTCATGTCCTTCCTAATGTCACAGACAGTTGCAAACAAAGGGTCTGATTTGGGAGCAAAGTCGATTTTCTTCAGCTGCTGTCTCGCGGGACTTAACATACCTGTAGGATTCATATCGGGGCTATTTACTGCTGACCACTCAAACGTTGATATGATTTGGTGTTCCTAGAATTGTCTAATGGCATTGTTCATGTGGGAAAGTTCTTTGCCATGCATGGAGATGTCTACTTGAGCAACACAATGACGAAAATAAGAGTAAGACATGACGTTCCAGTACTTGCGCGATGAAGTCCACTAAACCAAGTCATCCGGTGATTCACACGAGGGCAGGTTTGTTTATTCAATCCCCCCAAGACCATCCATAATCATGGCATTTTGTGGCCTCTGCTCCTCATTGATTAGTCCAAAATCTATAGAAGTCCATATGCAAAAAAAGGTTTCGTGCGCTACACGAAACAAATAGCTCCTAAACAAAAGCAAAATTATATTAATGAGCATATTATGAAATGTTAAGTCCAGATTTTTGCAAGGTATTTGTGACTACTCTGTTTTCTAATCTGTTTGAAAATATCACCAGAAGATGCTGTTCATTGCAGAGACAGTTATGTTCTTTTTTCACGTGATGTTCAATACAAGTCCATTCCACCAATGTTGATGCCCATCAATACACCCACGAATCAACTTTTTACGTTTCTTTGATTTTGCACAACTTTGCCAAGTCTGATTTTTAAGGTCAATTTTTCGAGATGATATCTCGGACATCTTTTAACATAGATGAAATATTTATGTATTAGATAATGCAGAATTTGTTTAGCTTTAAATTGATAGGCTGCATGTATGGGTAGTACAAGGCTTTAACACGTTGATTTGGTGGTTACAGTTTTTAGTTTCTTTTGGACGCCGTTGTATTAAAGCCGGTTCACTTCGCTACCCTAGAATTACAAAGTTCTCTCTGACATGTTTGGACGTTTTGACTCACCAACACCATGAGGTCAGAAACCAGATGTTCTATTTGCTGCTCTATCAAAATCATTTGATGATTTCCTGCCATTGTGAAGATATTCAAAGAATTGCTTTCGAAAAGCTTGACATGTTGTGAAACTAAAAAGGATTTGATGTCAAATTTCCCAAAACTAGATACTGAGCAGATATGACTTAGTTATTCTTAGGTAGAGACTAGTCTAGCTTTTGCTGAAAATATTTGCATGTATCTTTAAAGGAAGTCGAGGTATATGCGATCGAAGGGGGTGGGGATCACCTAGTTTCAGCGGAAAAACTTAGCGTGGAAATGGCTGCAAAAATTTGGTAACTTCCAAGTTTGAACATCCCTGGACATTGCAAATTTACATTTTTTTGGTGCTCTTGATCAACTTGTTTCTCCAGAATGCACCCAGAAAGGAGATTATGAGCCTTCACATTTCGAGAAAAATGACCCAACAGGTGAAAGAAGTCGGCTACTTTGACTTCATTATTTTGACCATCACCCGGTATCACCGCAATGACAAACATTAATTTTTTTTCTTTTATCCAGTACAAACTTCGACTCCTCTGCTAATATAAGTTATAAATTTAAAAAATGTAAGGAGAGATTGAGCGAAAAAAATGGAGTAGTAGCGAGGCAGAAAGAAAAACGAAGTCGAAATGACAAATCTCGCCCTAAGTATAAACACAAGGACAGCCATGTAATTACGACGTCAAAGAAGTAATCTGACACCGCGTCAATCATTGAATCTTGTAACTAGTTTAGAGTACACTCAACATGCCTTGGCTTCACACTGATTTAGACAGTTGCTAGTTTG